GGGGATCCAAAATTTTAGTTATCTGATTTTGCTTACATGCGAATTTAAAGTAGGAATTAATATATAATTTAGCTTTTAGTTTAAAAATTTAATGTGCACATAGTTTTAAATAAATCTATTATTAACAAATTGCTTGGTAAATCTATAATCAAAACTATTTTAAAATTAAAAATAAAAATTATTTGTTATTTTTATAAATATTTTCATAAATTTTATACATGTAAATTTAGGTATTTGTTTTTTTTCTTGCTATCTGTTTTTTAACATTTAGATATAAATTGTTCCCCTTTAGTAATAAGTTAGTTTTTTTTTTTAATGGGAGATAATTAATTCCAAAGGTCTCAGTTGTGAAATCATATCAACCGCTGACAAACCCTGCTAACATTGAATTACTTAATGGTGATGCACGAAATACAAAAAAAGGAAAGTGGATGGATGATGGCTGACAAATTTGTTAAACATGACAAATAAGGTTTCAAATGAAGTTTGGGTTGTGATCAAGGGTTCTTCAAATACAAACGTTTAGTTTTTACAATGTTTTCTTCCTAGGTCACCCTGTTCGTATATCTGCCTCTGGGTGTTTTTATGGACACTCTTAATAATTAAAATATTATTTATAATGATAATTATTATGATAATTAAAATTAAAAAAAAAATTGAATCTAATTTATATTAAAAGATTTATGTTTAAATGTCTCTAACCGTGAACTGTAACTTAGAAACCAGTACATCTAAGTGACGTCTTAGCGATCGCCCCTGTGGTGCGTCAATGTTTTATGTATCGTACTGTTTCTAGGTTGGTAGGGGATCTTTACTCTTCTGTTTAGAATCACGTACAGATACCCCAGTGTGAAATATAGCAACACTGGCACAATTCCAACTTCAACGATATAGCGTTTTTTTTTTTTTAAATTGTATACACAAGTTCAAATATCCTACTCCCAACTATACTGGCAAGTGTTATCCAATGCTAGTACTTTCGAAAACCTTTTCAACTAAATAGTTTGACCCTATACTCCAAATGTTATAAACTGTAAATCCTCAGACGTAACCTCAAGAACTTATCCACGATCTATGCTCTTGTCTATGCTCTAAATTTTCTGGATGGGGGAGGGGGGGGGGGGGCGGTCACTGTTAAAAGTAGATATTTTCTATATACATTCTATTTCGTTGGGGGGGGGGGGGGGTAGACGTTTTCCAGAGAGACTCAGCCCCCCCCCCCCCCCCCCCCCCCCCCCGAAGAGATGTGCCTGGAAGAAACTCTGATCCAGTGGCGTCGCTAGGTCGGGTGTCACTAGGTGCGGCACCTCATAGAGTAACCCCCTCTTTTTATTTCTCTCTGTAAATGTTGCAATTTGTGTCACCCCCCCCCCCCCCCCACCCCCGATAGAAACTTTAAAATGTTCACGTTTAATACTAATGATGTTTATCTATAAGTCAGTTGTTAATACATCTGGATGCAGAATTGTATTTCTCTACAGTTTGCATGTTTACGTCATAGTGTCAGCCCCCCCCCCCCCCCCACTCACTTGTCGGGATCGTCATTATGTGCTTAAAATATTTTTTTAACCCAAATTAACCATTCACTGAGCTGGCAAAAAACATATTTATTCTATATATCTTGCAATTATTTTTGTCTTGGTGTCACCAGGTGCGGTCCTCACCCCGCCCCCTCGCCCCGCCTCGCAACGCCTTTGCTTATTTGTGAAAAATTGTTGAAAAATTAAGAACGAAGAAGAAGAAGAAATAATGGCTGGTCTCAATTACTAGTTTATAAATTTATTTCTGTTGCAACAATCCACAACAGCCTCAACCCTCAATAAAATCAAGTCACATCAGCCCACAATAAACAAGTCTAATCGGAAGACGAAATAAAAATCCTTCTCGTCCATATTCACAGTCAGAGTTTCTTCCAGGCATCTCTTCGGGGGGGGGGGGAGTCTGCCCCTCCCCGAAAAGTTCAAGTGCCGCCCCCCCCCCCCCCCTGCCGGAAAAAATGGTCTTGATGAAACACTGTTCACAGTGATAGTCCAGCCTGTCTCGGCGAACCCGCTTAACACTGTCAAGTCACCGAATTAACTATGTAAAGCTTACTTTGAAGAAAAAATAGCTTTTTGGTCCAGTTTTCGGAGTTGAAGATGGCCAAGGATTCGAATTGAAGCGTCCGTTGACTTGAGTTCAGTAGATGATCAAAGATTCGATGTGAAGCGTCCGTTGATTTGAGTTCAGTGCAGATGCCCTGACAGTCTGGGGTGTTCTTAAATCGATTAGGGCAGGCTGGGGGGGGGGGGGGGGGGTAGAATCTGGAATATCGTCTAAAAGAGTGACTTGTGTTTAGCCTCTGGCAAGCTAGAGGAGTTTATTATGTTGTTAAAGAAGTCACCGGTATGATTTTTTTAGATGATTATATTAAAAAAGAAGATTGGTTCTAGGTTCTATTAATATCAAACTGAGAACCCAATACTGATTGCATTGAGTTGTGGAGGGGAGGTCACTCATATCTCCACCCCTCCTATTTCTAAAACTGTAAAAATAGCTCTAAAATTATAATTCTCGTTCAAGAACAACACTATCTACCATCTCCCCCTTCTGCCAATTTTCCTAATAGGTTGTGACGTCATTTATAGGCAGTGCGCTTTTTTTATGACGTCATTTATGGACTACCCTAAAGCCACATCCCCCCCCCCCCTGTTCCTGCTTCCCCGTGGCCTTCGGGGTAAAAACCAGTGACAACTCCCCCCCAACTCCCCCCCCCCCCCCCCACAAACTTTTTTTTCAGCACTATATAAATGTCAAACTACAGAGTTTATTCAGTCAAGTTAACTATTGAATAATTAGATAGTTAGGCTAGTTAAGTTGTAGCTCAATAGACATATATCATTATATACATATTAGACCCAAGATCAATTTTTCCACCCTACACCCCTCAATTAAGAATACATATTATTCTTAGTCATATCCAACAGCCTTATCCTCTACCTAACATATCCCCAGCCTGAGTGATGGATTTAAGACACAGGTGGTTGTGTGGGTGATGGATGGATGAAGCGCTGGATACATTCGTGATGGATAGACAGGTGGATATATGGGAAATTCATTAGCTTAAGTATATTACGTAGAGGACATGCCAGAACACTAATTAGTTGATGTGCCCGGTTGATAATTAGGAAGTATATTTGTCAGGAAATTCCTTATTAATTTGTAAATGTTTGTTACTTTTTAAAATTCGCACATTAAAAAAAATATCTTATAGATAAAATTTGTTGTAAAAATTGACTAAAAAAAATAATAGGTCTACATCGCTAAAAACAAATGCGCATGTTTTGTAGCCTTTAAAAAAATGTCCACGATTTTTATACCAGCCTGGCAAGAAATTTGGCCAGATTTTCACCACGGGCTTATGATGTAACTTGCCAGGTAATGCTCGCGTGGAAGGTAACTTCCCATTTCTGAGTTTCTCCCTTCCCCAAGGGTGTCGTGTTTAGAGTAAAAACAAACATGAAAGAAATGAGATGATTGAAGTCCTGTTTAATTAAACTATTTACTGAAAAGGGGTGTTTCAAATGTGGCCGATTAATTATATATATATTTAAAAAAAACATAATTTACTACGTTGACATTTTTACAAAGCTTACAATTAATACATTGTACACTCATTCATTGGAACTAAATGTTTGTCTTTTTTATTTGGTCATTCTTGTTTTATAGATAAAATTATAAATGTATTTAATTATAAATTTATTTAGACCTACTTTTTATATTTGTTTTCTAGGGGGTTGGGGGGGGGGGGGGGGGGGGGGGGGGGGTTGGGGGGTCTAAGCCTTAGAGTCCAACACAAGATCCGCCAATAGATGTAGAAATATTAATGAGAAACACACACACACACATACACACACACACACACACACACACACACATATATATATATATATATATATATATATATATATATATATATATATATATATATATAATATATATATATATATATGTGTGTGTGTATATATATATATATATATATATATATATATATATATATATATATATATATATATATATATATATATATATATATATATATATATATATATATATGAATATATATATATATATATATATATATATATATATATATATATATATATATATATATATATATGTATATATATATATATATATATATATATATATATATATATATATATATATATATATATATATATATATATATATATATATGTGTATATATATATATAACATTCAATTATTTGTATGTTTGTGTACATTGTTTGAACAAACAACAGCCATAAAATCCCCCCCCCCCCCCCAAACTCCACTAGATGTGTGACGTCGTTTATGGGCTGCCCTTGACTTGAAATTGATTTGGTGAATTGTTTGAATTGTTCCCCATGGGGAGATCACTCAATGAGCGGTAAACACAGAGGCGGCTGGGAATATAAAAACTTTGCCACGAGAAAGATGAAGAAACAATTGGTGTTTGTTGTTTATGAGTCTTTTGGGGATTTCCCGATCACTTCTCAACGATTGCTCATAAACTCTTATTGGGTACTAGCTGCATACCCGTGCTCCGCCACGGTAAATCTTTTTTAAATGTACCAACTATATACATAGTGACGCCAAATGTTGGGTAGTTGTGACTCCAGTTAGACTCAACACAATCCATATTGTAAAGACTAAATAAAAAAAAATGTATTAATATCAACTAGTGGAATAAAACGGTGTTTAAGTTACAGGATTTGCGTCCAATATTTCTATGAAGTAATCTACCCTATCACGCCCCTCCACTTCTCATACCCCCCCCCCCCCAGCTACTTCCCGCCACCACCATGCAATGTACCGTTCTTTGATTCTAGCCAGATAAAATTAGAAATCTATTTTTCAAACTCACGCGCAGTCTATCGTCTGCCCATGTCTTCCCATCAGGTACCTGCGTGCCACCACATCAGGTACCTGCACGCCACATCACGGTACCTGCGCGCCACATCACGGCGCAGGTACACCAAGGATCTGTGAGCAACATCGGTGCCCAGGTAGATGTTAGCCGACCACTGGATTTAAGATGCAGCACGTTGTGTGTGAGTACACCTTTAGATTAACGCTAATCCTAGACACCTGTTTCGTGAGGAAAGTTTATTCTTTGACTAATATCCAGAGTTTCAGTTTGTTGTTCAAGTGCTTACTTGTAGGGGGTGGGGGTTGGGGGGTAGACATATATAAAACTATATTGTACTGAACCGCTTTTTAAGAGAAACGCGTAAATAGCCAGGTATGGACTGGGTGTATCTAAGAGGTCCGGGAAACAAAAAGTGCTCCCATCCTGTCTAAAGTTGACTTTCTGAAATTTTTGCCCATCATAGCCTACTGACAGCTTAGGTCTACAACTCCACGGGTCACATTACAAATTGAAATTAATAATAATTACTAAATATATACACATCTTATACATTTATTAATAAGACATAAAAACTTATGAATCGAAGTTACTCAACCAAAATATGATTTCTTACTATAAGTTGTATGTCATCTAAAGCATTATAAGCAGCTTCTTTTAAGCTGGGTATGGTGTCCGCTATATTTAACGCACGATCTAACTTGCGTAGACTATACCCGATAATAGTTTATATGCACTAAAGAGAGGGTTGTATGTTTGAATAAAGAAGTAGTAGTCTGTTTACGCAACACAGAAGAAAAGTAAACAGGTCATTTTTTTGCAGGATTTGCATTTTATAATCTCCTCACTCTTATACACACTTTGAACATCACAGAGCTTGTAGTAAATCGTAAATTCAGTAATTTACTAATTGACAATACATTTTGCAATACCATCGGCTTTTAGACCCCTAAAGAGGTCCGCGTGGTCTAGCAGCGTGGTAGTGTCGTGTGGTCGGGCCGGTAAAGCTCATGGTTGTTAAACCGAAAAGTCTTGAGTTCGAAACCCAGGATAAATGGCCGAAATGGTACACAACAGGTTGACACGTAATACTTAAATGTGCTGGGGGGAATACCGTCAAATATTACACTAAAGATCGAAAAAAAAAAAGATGATGGTAGCGTGTATTCAATGAATATGTGTAAGTTACGGTCAAAGCCCGAAATCGGCCGAATTGGGAACTGGCAATCAAAAGCGGGAACTGGCTAGTATTGACCACGTATGCCAATGTGAGCAGATCATGCGCAGAATAGAAACTCACTTCTGGAATAGTTGTGTGATAACGCCTATTTTAGCTTGTAGAGAACACTCTCTACGTTCAGGCATGTTAAAAAAAGGCTTCGTGAGTCATTGCGACTTGGTCAATATTTGCTGTACGAAGTCACATATCTCCAACATTCGGCGACTCTAACATTACGACATTGGATGGTGTAACTTACGCTATGAATGGACTTGGTATTTTGGATCTGGAATTTTTAGCATCTTGGTGCATTGAGTCTTCAAACCAGCATGACCAAATTCTCTGATTTCTTGTTCATTGTACAATAGAAATTCTCCCTCCGTACACTTCATGGCTTACTCCACCAATTGTGTGGACTTGGTAGACACAAGATCAGAAGAAGGGGCTTCACTACATTGTTTTCACACACGACACAAAGACAGACCTGGATGTTTCTGGTATTTCGGCTGGCCAGTACAGAAAATGTTACATTTTTAAACGGTTTTTAAAAAATTGATTTTTAATCTCTGCGTGTTCAAATTCAAATAACCAGCTAGTTTATTGAAACATATATATGTATATATATATATATATATATATATATATATATATATATATATATATATATATATATATATATATATATATATATATGTTTATTTGTGTATATATGGATATATAGATATATGGAAAAATGTTGTAAACATTGTACAACATTGATTATCAAGTAGGCCTAATTTCCCCATGTTGAATCATTCAAGGGAGACAACACCGATAAGTTTGTTCCCTACTGTCATTTAAAATGTAATAAAATTTAATTAAAACAAAATTAAAATTACATTTTTTTAAATTTAATAACTAAAAAATTAATTTTTATGAGTCATTTATAATACATTGTCCAATTTTTTTACATTTTAGGAAAAATTAAGTAAAAATATTTACTATACTAAAGAAAAACTTAAGGCGGAATTAAGTAACTAGCTATATAGAAATTAGACTGTTGAGATCTAACAGTGTTTCTGATCGCATCTACGACAGCTCATTTTCCTATTTAAATTAGCCAAACAACACAGAAAAAGCAATACAGACTGTAATAGAAAAATTCAACAATTTTGGGAAAGGGAGCGGGGGAAAAATAAACGCAGAAAAATCAAAAGTAATGGGTATAGGTAAATGGAAAGGTAAAGATAACTATCACATAGACATAATAATAACTGACAAACTCAAAATTTATGGAATAACCTATACTAGCGATCCCACAATAAACGACCAAGAAACTTGGACCACACTGAAAAATAAAATAAATCACAATCTAGAAAAATACCAATACTGCAATACAACCATTTTTGCCAGAGCTGCATTAGTAAACAGATATATCATTCCAAAAATAATTTTCGTAGCGACGAACTCTACAATACCCAACTCATTTATTAAAAAAACAAACAAGCACATTAGAGAGTTCATTTTCAAAAATACGATTAGAAACATTAGCCACAAAACCTTAATACAAAATAAATTAAATGGAGGTATAGGGCTACACGACATTCAAACTAAAATAAACACCTTCCGATTAAAACACCTGGATAGAATAAGGATAGAACCACATTATCATCCATTAGCACAATACTACATTGGGTTAAACATAAAGAGCATTTTAAAATTAAACATCATAACACCACACTATGGGGGAAATGACATAGGCAGCTTTTATAAAGAAACGCTAGCAACATTCCAAGGAAACAAAAGCATTATTGGGGAAGACACAAAAAAAAAATATACGACATCCTAATCAAACAACAAGCGACACCCTTATACACGAGAATTAGTTGGGCCAGGGAACACAATATAATAGACATTAAAGATACATTTAGAAACCTACATAATAAACGCATTACACCAAAAGAAAGGGAAATAGCATACAGACTGATTTTTAACACAACTCCAGTTTCACGAAATACAAAGTCAAATCAAAATGTTAAAATAACATGTCAAGCGTGTAAACAAAATATACAAGAAACTGAGAAACACATTTATTTAGATTGTATATTAGTAGAGAAAACAAAGCAAACACTTGCGAAAATATTAAACACCACCAATCAAACAGCCACAACAAATAAAGCAATCACACTTAATTTAATTAACACGACTAGACAAAGAACAGAAGACGAAAACAGACTAGTAGCAATGGCTATTTATAGATCGACTATATGGCAAATTAGGAATAAAGTCAGATATTTTTTCACAAAATACACGGACATCGAGTTAAAAGAAATATTTCAAGCAAGGCTAAGACATAGACTGGAACTCTCACTTAACTGAGAAAAAAAAAGAAATATACAGGAAAGAAATAAATAAAGTATTAATTTTAATTTAGACAGTCTCAAGCCAAACATCACTCGATCAGCCCCCAAGTAAATTAACATTAGAACAGTCTTATGTTTCCCGGGTTTTAAAATGCACAACCTGAATGGTAGAAAGAGATACCCACCTCAACCCCTCCCCCAACACACACACACACTTCCCCCCCCCCCCCCCCACTCAACCGGACTGGCGGACATTTCAAGGTAGCGTGCCCTCATTGCCAAGGGTCAATTTTATGTCATGGGAAGTTTTGGAATGATAGATCAGTACGTGATTACAGAGATCCTTCTCCCACAGTCGTTTCTATTTCTGTCCATGGGTGGCTACAGTGTGAACTTTTGACTCCGCAGCACACTAAACTAAGCAGTGAAGAGAAACCTAGTTTGCACACCTTATTTTAATCTAGTTCTTATGCCATTTTATTTTTTTTCCCTTTGATTATTATATATGCAATTGATGTTCATTGTTCATGTCTTTGATGCTATGTAAAATCTATCAAATATATTATTATTACTGATTTAAATGTTTAAAACAATTGAATTAATAAAAATAAAAATAAAAAAATCTACCCCCTCCTCTCTCCCCCTCTATCCACTTTACCCCCAGACATGATAACCCCACAATCCCTTTAACTGTTCCAACGACCCCACCACCCACCGCAACATCAATATCCAGAACTTATTTAAAGTTCTAAATCTTGTCTCTTTCCCCTCATCTTTCACACTGCAACCTTTTGAAAACTCAATGCGACCACTACAACACCCTTTCAACTAGTCAACTTAAGTTGTTTCCCTACATAGAAAATGCTTCACTGTCCCATTGACCCTCTCTGAAAAATTTCCTTTCCTCTCCCCACCCAGACTTCTGACACTTTCATTTGACCTTCACCCCTTTTACTGTCATCCTTTGCAATTTTTTTTTTATAATCAAATACATGACATCATGTAAATGTTCATTATGTACATTTGCAAAACCTTTCGTTTTCATTTGGTGTTCAAAATTATGTTAAAAAATTTGATGTTGATGTACTTGTTTTAATTGCAAATAAAAGTATTCGAAAGTAAAAAAAAATAAAAAAATAAATTAGCCAATCAAAAAAAAAAAAAAAAATAGCCACCGTCCTTTTTTTTTTTAAATAAATAAAATTAATCTTGTTTTCGACTATTACGTTTATTGGCACAAGTTTCCAAACCAGCCTCTTTCCACTTTTTGAACCAACATGCTCTAAACCCAATGTATGTTATGTATTTATTTACTTATTTAGCTATTTATTTATTATACTCTGTACATCAATGTAACTACCTTGTAAATATCCACTCAAACAGTATGTGATGTTTTTTTATTTGTTTTAAAATTGAAAATAAAAGCATAAAAAAAATTAGCCATCGTCCGTTACGCGTGAATTGTAGGCCTATATTTGAAAAATAAATGTTTATCTCATTTGAGAAAAATATTTTACAAAATAATTATTAGCCAAAACACGATGTTGTTTACTACTCGTTGAAAAAAGAAAAACAGTAACTAAATAGCTAAAAATCCGACACATCCTTACCCTATAACATAGG